AATGAATATAACAAAACAGAAAAAGACTCACAGATATAGAGAACAAACTAATGGTTACCAGTGGAGAGAGGGAAGGGCAGAGGGGCAAGATAGAGGTAGGGAATTAAGAGGTACAAACTACTATATATAAAATGAATAAGCTACAAGGATATATTGTATACCATAGGGAATACAGCCAATATTTTATAATAACTTTAAATGGAGTATAATCTATAAACATTTTGAATTACTAATGTTATATACCTGAAACTAATATAATATTGTAAATCAACTCTACCTCAATTAAAAAAAGTCAATTTCTAGGCTGGTTCAAAGGATATGAATATCTATTTGGCAACTGGTAAGAATTGCCTATTTTGCTTATTGCAGTGCAGTGTTATCAATAAATGACAAGATGTTGGAAAGCACTGCCATGTCCAGTATTATTTAAAAAATTGATTTTGAATAAATGATGGCAAATGTATGGGATGGAATATTATTTGGTTGTTAAAATATCCCTTAAATACTTAAATGTTAAATGCTGGGAAAACAAAATGGTATGTGTGCTCTACCACAGTTTTGTTAAGTTTATGTTGTGGAAGGTGGCCTTCAAAAGTGAGAATAGTGTAAAATGTGAGAGCACAAAGCTCTCAGACAATTTGAGAATTATCTCAAGTGGTTGTTCATTCTGTTTCTGGTCACCTACCTTACAGGGCTCAGCACTGATTTACTTCTGGCTCATTTCCAAAACCAAATGCTCAGTGGTGAAGTCTTCCCTTTGTTAGGGATGTTCGAAGGAGCATGTCACAGGCCACATATGCTTTGAGTAATGGAAGCATCAATGAAATTAAGTCCACATTTTTCTAAGACAACTATTTTATAGAGGCCCAAACATTTGGATGATCAAGTTGATATTTGAAAGGTGAATTTTATTGCTTCTTTATACCTTTAGTCATACCTGGACACTGAATTGATTTACTCTTCAGAAGGGGAAAGTCATAGGGGAAAGTCATAAGATCCAACATAACAGCAAGGCGGAATCATAGAGTGGCTACATGATCCATTTGCCATGGCTAAGGGTGAAAAGTGGAACCCTATTTGGGGCTCTTTATTTGAGAGTCATCTTTGGAAATGTAGAAGGACTTTGAGCTTCAGTTATCTTTTCTTCTCTTTTTAAATTTTTGTCTGATAAAGGCTTCTCATCTGAATGAAATGTAGGCTTTGACATCACCTATGGTAGCATCATCTAAGAACTACAGTGTGTTGACAACTGTCTTGTGAGTACTTCACAGTGGATGATTTTCAATGGATGACATTTAGAGTAAACATGAACTGCTTTCAGATAGACAGAGTTCACACATTTGTGTGTAAAAAGAAAACTCCCGGGCTTCCCTGGTGGCGCAGTGGTTGAGAGTCTGCCTGCCGATGTAGGGGACACGGGTTCGTGCCCCGGTCCGGGAAGATCCCACATGCCGCGGAGTGGCTAGGCCCGTGAGCCATGGCCGCTAAGCCTGCGCGTCCGGAGCCTGTGGTCTGCAACGGGAGAGGCCACAACAGTGAGAGGCCCACGTACCACAAAAAAAAAAAAAAAAAAGAAAACTGCCAACCTGCAATATTATTAAAAAGCAATTATATAGCTTCAATATCGTACCTTTTTCAGCATATAGACTTGTTTATTCAATGCTGTGTTAATTCTTCAAGATTATTTAGGAAATAAATTCAGTGCACAAATAAACAAGTATTTACTGAAACCTCTAACAGTATAGACAAGGTATGTTAGTACTTACAATGATAAAAAGACACAATCTTGATTTCAAGAAATTTAAGATAAAGGTGACAGGGGCAGGGGTCGATGGGAAGGGGAGGGGTTGGTAGGGCTGGTGGTACAAAAGGGACAATAAGTATCTAAATAACCATAAAACAAGACTACAAGAAATGCAATACGACAGGTATAAACAATGAGCTATGGACTCTGGAGTTTAGATATCATTAACTTCTTTTGGGAAAGACTTCATGGAGGAGATGACATTTATAAAGCAAATGAAATATAAGCGTGGAGGCACGGCAAGGCATTTGATTTTGGTAATTCAGGTAGTTTGGTGTTGCTGGAGTAGGAATAAAAGAATGAGAAATAAACAGGAAACATCTTGTGTTTCAAAATGGTGGGTCATTTCTAAACTAAATTAAACAAGTCATTAAACGTGTGTACAATGCAAGATATTATAAACAGTGTTTGCAAACATTCAGATCAACTAACTAGACTGTATCTTAAAATTTACTAAAATCATGTTCTATAATTATAATTTAGATGTTCAAGAAAATGTTAAAATCTTGCAGTGAATCTCAGACCTGTCCTGGGCAAAATCTGAAAGGTTGGTAGCACTGTACTGAGGACATTAAGGGCACACACAGGCCCAGTGAGAGAGTGCCATGATCCACTGTGTATCCTGGGCTGGGGTGACCCTTTGCTACATTAACTCTGTATCATATATTCATTCTAAAAAAGATTGAGCAGCAATTTCTATTTGCCAGGCGTTGTGCTAGAAACTAGGAATACAACAGTGAATTAATGATTCAGTCCCTCTCCTCATAGAACTTACAATCCTGAAGATGGGGTTGAGGTTGGTTGAGATACAGTAGACAGAGATTCAAATACAGGGTGGTATGTGCCTGATGGGAGATGTAAAGAATGCTGTGTGAGCGTACTGTAGCCTGCGTAGTTCAGAGAGGAGGGGTCAGGGAAGACGTCCTAAAGAAGTGCTATCCAAGCCTAAGATTTTAGGAATAAGGCAGGAAAACTAGGCCAGGCAGAGGAAGGAACATGCACATGAAGAGAGCAGGGTAAGTGGGGGGAATGAGAGACAGAGGAAAGGAACACACATGGTGCTTTTCTGGGAAGGCAATAGCTTAGTGTGGCTGAAAGCTAGAGTGTGAAATTGGTTGAGGGTCATGGACATAGAAGAGACTGGAAAAGTAGGGGAGGAAATAAGGGTAGATGAACAGTGCTAAGGTTTGTTAAGGATTTCATAAAACTAAGAAATCTGCCAAAAAATTTTGAGCTGGTACGTCACAGGGTCAGATTTGTGTTTTAAGAATTTCACCATGGTTGTTGTGTTTAGATAAGATTGCAGAGGGTTAAGATGGGAGGTCAGAAGACAGGCTAGGGTTCTGCTGTGGATCTCATCCACATCATGATGGTGGTCTGAACTTGGGTAGAAGCCTTGAGGATGGAGAGAAGTGGGTGGATCCTAGGCATAATTTGGAGCTGGGTTCCATAGGACTTAGAGATGGACTGGATGTGGAGTGTGAGGGAGAGGAAGGCGCCACACACCCTCTCAAGTGTCTGTCTTGGCCACTGGGAAGATGGTGTCTGTTAGCTGAGTCTCACCAGTAGTGCCATAAAGGACTGAGCACACGAAACTTCAAGGTTGTTCCTGGATCCTGCCAGGCTGACTTCAATTAGTGTATGGGCTGTTTGCTGTGAGTGGGAGTGGCAGGGCTACGGTTTGTTTTTATTCTTCCTTCTTGAGACAATCCCTAATCATACTCATTCAGTACAGAAAATGAGCTGCCCCTGCTTCACTAAATTGAAATCCAAAAATGTGCCAAATGACTAGACTACAGTTTTCACTGAAGAGTTCAAAGAGGAAATCAGCTCCTCATGCTGCCATATGAAAATGGGTAATTACAATATTTTTTAACACATTAGACCTTGTTATTTTTGAAATTAGGAAAACTATATGGGGCCACACATTTTTATCACTAGGAAGTCTTTTAGAGATTAGTGACAAATAATTCTACAGATGAAAAATTGTGGAGGTTAAATTATTGGCTCAAGGTCAGTCACCTAGTAGTTGATTAATTTCTTTCTAAGTTGTACTGATGTCTTGAAAAGTGTTGATTAAACAAGTGAAAGTGTGCACATGTCGTCACAGGGCCCATAAAACTGTTTTATGTAGGTATCGCAATGCCCTGGTAATTTTTGTGGCAAAATGAGAGTTGTTCTGACAAATCATCTGAAATAGAATATGGTATAGTTTCTGTTCTTGGTGCTCATGCCTGCTTCTAAAGTCTTTTGTTAAGTGATTTATGCACATTTATCTGGAGCATAATTATCTTGATTAATATTGAGACATATGGTATTTAAAATCCCAGTGTTTAACGAAGCACTTCATGATTAGCCGTTTAAAAATAATTAACCCTCTTGTATATAAAATTTTGTAATTTCATTTCAGATTATCAAGAGCTAACTAATATTTTCAAAATTTTAATCAGCCATATATAGTGGATTCAGTGGAAATAATGTGTGAGAGGGGTATTGTAGCTCTGATACTACAAATCAATGAGAAATTAAACCACATTTTAGTGTTTTACAGCAGTCATATTTTTCTGGTCTGCCTTTTGCATTTAGATGTTTGGTGTATATTAATCACAGAAGCAATTTAGAAAAATGAAGTTACTAAAAATTAGAAAAAAACCTTAAATATGCTATTCTGCACACATATTTATTGATTTGGACCTATTCTCACCTAAGAATAAAAATCCTGTCTGGGGTTCGTAAGTCAATATAAGGGCTTTCCCTACATTCTCCACGTAGGAAACAAATATTAAACACATTTTATGGTGCTTATATCTTTATGACTTCTAATGAGATGAGATATGTTAAGAGTATTTTTCCTAGTGGAATATGGACCAGATCTTCTATTTTCCTGAACAGAGAGAAGCAAATTCCTTGCATCTCCTTAAATGACCTGGGCAGTTGCTGCTAAGCTTTCATTATGTCATTTAGTAAAGACCCATGGTTGAGCGCGTTAGGAATTACTAAAACAGATTCAATTATTTTCTTTCTTTTTTTCCTGTTTCTTTTCCTCAGGAGACTCAGGTACAGAAAAGGCTTGAGGAAACTTAGGGAAGCCAAATTTTCTTTTCTTCACAGATGTCTTTGAGTTTTAGCAATTTGTAAGCCTAGAATGATGAGGGGAAAACTATAATAAAGAAAACAGACAAAGAAAATGTCAAAATTAAAATATAATGAACTGTTTAATAAGAGATTTGTTTACATAACTTTCTAAAGATGTCTTCTTTATATATAAATACAAAATTGATGCTAGTAGGTTTTTCTCCCCTTGTGTCTAGAAGATATCTCCAAATACCAATTATAATAACATCCAGCATGCCAAGTCTTTCACAGTCATTATTTTATGTATTCCTCACCCATCTATGAGGCACGTACTATTATTTTCCCCATTTAACAGATAGGGAGACAGAAATTTACAAGAGATTAAGTGACCTGTCTAAGATCACATTTTAAGTGATGGAATCTGGTTATCTGTCTAGATCTATTGGATTCCAGAGCTTGGGCTCTTAATCACTATTGTGATACCATCAAAGAGGCTGATATGTATCTCTGGGAGGGAGATGGTTTGGTTCCTATGCAGAAAATTCTCCCTTCATTATGTGCTGCAGGCTATATAGCTACATCACTTTTCCTACACTCAAGGTTGGAAATGGCATTTGACAAGCTTCTGCAGAGCTTAGAAAGCCTAAGAGGGTTAAGGTACATGGGATGTGTAGCTTCTGAGATTTCCTGGGCCTGGCTGGCTCCTTCACAGGTGGTACATTTGATAGTTTTTCAAAAAGCTGCCATTGCACTCTCAATGCTGAGACAAAATATGGATACAGTTCATTTTTTAAACTTCATCTGCACTCCTGCATTCTTGATTGACTTATTGGGTAAGAGACAGGAATAAACAATATATTATTGGATGGGTGAAAACGGGAGGGTAGATGTGAGCGATCCTAGGACAAAGGTCTGTGAGTAAAATTCCTTGAATCGATCATTTACCTGGTGCTTTAATCCCTCCACTCTTTAAATACACACTGAGGAGACTTGTGCTTCCAGGAGGATGGAGTAGACATCTTTTTTCCTATTTCTCCCACTAAATACAGCTAAAAATCCTGGATATTATTTATAAAACAAACATAAGATTCTGAAAGGTAGAAAGAAGGCAGACTGGCTAGGGGCCTCAGGACCAGAAGACACGGTGGTGAATTCTCTAGATTTTCTTTTTGCCTCATAGATCTCTGACTAGGTACTGGACGAGGTGGCAACCCAGAAATGCCAATGTGCTTAGACATGGCCATGGGCCAGTGGAGAACACATGCGGAGTCTGAACTCCTACTCCCACCCAGTAGCCACAAGGCACCCCACCTGCAGGGTCAGAGGAGGGCACATAGGGAACAGTAATGAGGTTCCCTCTGGACTTTTACCTCTGTCTGGCAGTGATAAGGCAGACAGAGTCCCAGAAGGAAAGAAGTAGATGTGGTTGAAAGAGTATTTGAAAAAATAATGGCTGAAAATTACCTAAATTTGGGAAAAAGACACAACAAACCTGTAGGTTCGAGCTGAGCAAATCCCAAACAGGATAAACCCAAAGATATTTATGCCAAGACATACCACAGATCACTTTCTGAAAACTAAGAACAGAGAAAAAATATCTTGAAAGCAGCCAGAGAGAAATGACAGGAAACGCACTGATTTTTGGCATTGGAGGAATAGGCTGGTTACCAGCGCTTCCCTTGTTGATTTTGGCTATTAGTCTTCTTTTTAACCAGACTCAACCAAGCTAACATGTACAGAGCATTTACTAGTTATCTGCAAATTATGCTGGGCACCCAGGGGACATTTGCTAATCCCATTCTTCCTGTAATTGCTCCACAGTGGGTATTATCCCTCAGAGCAAATCAAGGAATTTCAGAATTGGAAAGAACCTCAAAAAAAGGAAATAAAAGGGCAGAAGTTTGTAATTTGGGATTTCTGGATGGGCTTCAGTTCTGCGAACTCCCTGAAATTAATCTAAAAAAATGCCAACATGTATGTGCATTTTTCTAGGGAAAGGACCATAGCTTTCATCAGAGTCTCAAAGGAGCTGGTGGCTCCCAAAACGTTAAGAGCCACCATTAAGAGTTTCTGCTCTTTTCAGGCAAAACTATATAATCCAACCTAGATAGAAAAGAGCTAAAAACAGAGAAGGTATTCCCCATCATATACATCAAAATTCCTGAAAGCCACCTCATAATTCTCTACTTTTAAGGAGAAAATAGGAAAATGGCAGTTTTCTGATTTCTTCTAGGCACTTGTGGAAATACAGGTTTATCAAAGAATGTTTGCTTGTAGTCTTATTTTGAACATTAAAAAAATATTACCTATAGGTGGCTAAATAAACAGTGCACCGTGATTCAAAATGTACTTTAGATTTCCCCTACCCCTGAAGCCATTTTATGAACTGTCATGTGCTACCTGAGCCTCCAGTAAAAACAAAAACAGGCTTTCCTGTTTTTTAAAAAAATGTACTTTAGGTATGATTTCTCCCAATGCCAATCAAAAAGTTCAGACATACAAGGAAGCAGGAGCAGCCTCTCTACATCAGTACCAATAGGCTGGTATTTTATGAGATAGGACAAACTGGCCCGCAATCTGCATTCCTTTTTCCATCTTTCAAAAAAAAACATGTAAAAAAGTTCTATTATAAAGCAACTAAACTCCAATAAAAATTAAAAAAATTCTATTGATTACACAATGTATAACAGCCAATTTATCAGAATAAAAAACTATTAGTGTTTTCTTTGGTGAAAAAACAAGTATAACAAAAACAGATCCATGTGGTTTCTGTGTCTACAGTGTGGCTGTCCCTCACTCTCTGTACCCTCTACCAAATCCCTCATGAAATCCAGGTCTGCTCACACCTGGAGAAATGCACATTAAGGATTTTAGATTGCTGCTGCCTGTTTTCTGATCAAAATTAAGGCTCCCAGTGTTACCTGGAGAGCTAGAGATGGGATAATGCATTATTTTAGGAAAAAATTTGACTACCTGCTTTCATTAAGACCCTATAGTAGTTTGATTTACTCATACAATTCTATGCTGGCTGCATCTACACAATCAAAGGAATCACTGGAGACCCTTGTTAAACATAGAATTCCAGACCCCAACCTACAATTACTACAGTGCAACCAGGAGAGGAACCTGAGAATCTAACAGTTTTTATCAAGTGCTTTGGGTGATCCTTGGGCTCAAACAAGTTAGAGCAATCTTCTTAAACTTGAATGTGCATATAAATTATCCTGGGTTCTTGAAACAAAAGTTCTGATCCAATTGGTCTGGGTGGGACCTGAGATTCTGCAGATCTAACAAGTCCTAAGGTGATGCTGCTAGTGTGAGGACACCTTAAGTAGCAAGGTCAGGGAGATTACGCCTCATCTGGCTTGTGTGTAAATCAGTATAGGCCATTACATTTTCCTTCTGCATCTGTGGATTCTCTACCAGAGGCCTCTCCCCTCCCTTGATGCTGCCCATTTCTCATTTTTTCACTGATTGTATCTCTACAAGCTAGTGTGATCAGTTAAGGTAAGGCATCCTACTCTTCTCCACTTACTTTATAAAAAGTTCACACAAAGATAAAAGCAGTCTGAAATAAACACCACACAGTAACTTACATAATGGGTTTATATTTAATATAGTACTTCTCACCATGGAGATGTTAGCAGTTTATAAAGATTTTTTTGTTTTTGTTAAACGTTAAATCTTTTCTCCATTTCAGTGTCAATATAAAGTATTTTTTTACATTAAATCTTTTCTCCATTTCAACGTTAGATACATCGAATACATTTTCTAAACTTTTTCCCCCACAAAGAGATAAGTTTTAATTTTTTGACCAACTGTATTTAATATCTAGGTACAATATTAACTTGGGAGATAACAAAACAAAAATGCATTAAAAATATGGAGAAAAGACTCCTCAGTGATGCAGGAGGCAGTGATTATAACTAAACAGTGGCAATTTCCTAGGATTCTGGGCAAGAGTTTTCTTATTATTATTGAGAATTCTGAAATTATGAAATATTACTTATGCAGAGTTCAGCCATCTCACTTCTTTGACCTTCTTTCTAACTAGCAAATGCAAATTACAGACGGCATTTTTCAGTGCATTATTTGTTGTGAAGAAAACGTTTTGTTTTCCATTTAACATATCAGTTTGTTCCTATTTATAGGGAAATAACCAAGACTATGAAGCTACCGTATTTACTGTTTCTTGAGAACTTTCAGACACCAAAACTCAGTTCTAAACCTCAATAGCACAAAGGTTTTCAGGGCAAGGTTTGATTCAGGAGGCCCTTCAAAGTCACATCTGTCCATTTCTCTTTCGTGCATATACCCCCAAACAAGCACAAATGCCTGTAATGCTGAGAACCACACCTAACAAGAGAGCGATTGCATCTCCGGCTTCTACTGCTTCCACAACAGGCAGCACCAGAAGCAATGAAAAGAGAACTAGGAACAGTTGTGTTGAAACTGAGATCATGATGTCGAGATCTTGAGGTGACTGGTTCTTAAAGGCTGAAAGTTCCTAGAAATTAAAACATGGAAACAAAAAGGAACCATTAAAAATTCCTACCTTTTCAAATGACAGTATGAATACATGACAACAGTTCATACAACCTTTTAAATCAGAGACTTTATAAATTATATTCAGACCCATCTCCTCATTTTATGGTGGAAGAAACTGAGGGAAGTAAATGGTACTTAAAGATGGTCATTTGAGGCTAATCGCCCCTTCTCATGATAATTCCCCTACTCCAGCAATTTTTCCCCACTCTATAACGCCAACACCGTGTGAATCAACAAAACAGAAATTGAACAGTAGAATAAGAAAAGACAGAAGAGGCACAAGATACTAACTTGGAAACTATCCTAGTGAATGAAAATTATATTTTCTTAGGGTCGCTCCCATCCAGGAAATGCAAACAAGTCTGGCAAAGTCAAACCACATATAACTCTGTGAAGTCGTGGGGGAAATAGTAAGACTTACCAAAGAAAGCGTTTTTTTTTTAATTCTACCAGTTCAGGATGCTAAGGCTAAGCTCCACGTGACAGCACCTATTATCAGAGGGGCGTAGCAGGATTTAAAAAATCGCACATTATTAATTATTATTTTAAAGCAGCAGCTAGAGTCAGTGCAGAGCGGTGAGGTTGTACGTAAGGGAGAAGAATGGGTAATAACTAACGACAAGTTTGTTCAAGCAGGGGAACTAGATTTAAAAGTTGGTCAGTTAGCCTATAAAGGAAAAGCTAAAAAAAAAACCCAAAACCAAAAAAACAAGTTCGTTTGAGGACTTGATAGTAGGACTTTAAAAAGAATCCCTGCTTTGGCCCGGCAACGTGCAAATCTGCCGCCTGTTTTACAAATACCCTGGGCAATCTAAGTAGCCTTCGGGGACAAGTTCGTACATTACCTTCCAGGAAGCAGCCATTACAGGAATGGCGAGCAGGGCGGAGTCTCTAAACTACACTTCCCACAATCCCCTGTGACGACAACTCACAGGATGCACCGGCGCGCTCCCTTGTAACTGGTTGCGGGAAGATGGTCACGCTCTACCGGAGACGCTGAGGAGCGAGCTCCCGGGGCTTCACGTGGCCGAACCTGTCACTGGTGAAGTAGTTTAGTGTAGTTGTACGGAAGCTGGCACCCACACAAAAAGGTAAAAAAAATGACAGCAAGTGTTTTTTTTCACCCTGTTCAAGGTTTCAAGACACAAGAAGTTACGTCCTTTTCTTTGACTGAAATGCAGACACAGCAGCCGGAAGAAATCACCCGAGCAGAGCCATCTGTTTCAGATGCATTTAACCTAGCGGCTTGTAACATTTTTGAAGGAGGGAATCCCCTGACACCATTTTCCAAATGTGCCTTATGATATTTGTTAACTCTTAAGCAATGGTGGAAAACATGTTTAATAAGACGTTTTGGAAAATGTCAGAAACATCTGTAGGGAAAAACAGGCCGTTTGAGGAAAAACAGGTTAAGCAGTATAAGAGGGTCTCGGATTCAGGTTCTAGAGTTCTGTTTCCCTATTACTTCAGGAGTGCAGTGTATGGTACGCTTTAGAGATTTCTTCTCACTCATATGTTTATGATACCCACCCTATGTATCCCCAAATATTTATGGAAAGTTGTAAATTAATACTTTTAAGTCATAAGGATAAATTATTTGCATATGTAAGTCTTAGCCCTTTCTGAAAGGCTTTCTTGAAGTCTAATTTAATCTACGAAGTCCTTATTAAACCTTTCTAATCACCCAGTCTTCTGAACTCTCATTTACTGACTAGAGGACTTTTTTGGTACCCTGGAAATGATCAGTTATTAATGATGTGGGTTAGGGGTGAAGTCACTTGCCCTGTCTGAAAGTCCCCCTAGGACTCTGAGACACAGCAGGTATATTTCAGTTCAGTGCCCATAATTGGCACGTAATTTTTTTATTGTTGTCCATCTTTTTTCTGACACTTTACTAATCTCTCTGGACTGACAGCAAAGCTTTACATTCCTAGCTTCTAACACACACACAGCAGGTGCTCAGAAATGTTGGTTAATAACAATTATTTGAATAAATAAATGTGCCAGCAGGATTTCTTGAGAGACAAAGCAGTGCCAAATAAACCAAAGCAAGGTGTCTTGCAAATTGGAAGTCTATGGAAAATTACACAGTAATGTCAGCATTGCTTCTCTAAACTTGATTATTTTAACAAGTTCTGTCTTTGACTCATTTGCCTTGTGCTACTTCTGGTTTTGTACCTTTCTAATCAGTTATATTTGAAATAGCAGCTCTTTAAAAATACTCTTTTGCATTCTAGTGTGAACAATTTGGGGATTTAATTTTTCCCTATATGTTTATTCAGTTTGCTGAAGTCAGCAGAGACCACAGTAAATTTAGTATTATTACAGACTTGTTTCTGGGGGTGTCAGTGTTGAAGATAATGGGTTACTTTTAAGTTTGAAGGTCTGCTGATGATAAAATGCTTTTTCTTTATTATGTTAAGAGATCATGATGACCTGGCCTATCTGAAAAAGAGTGGCAGAAGTTTGTGCAGAGATGTTTTGGGCCCGTGTAGTTTCAAAATAAAATTGGTTAACTTTTCCTAACCAGCATCTACCCTCATCAGGCAACTTAACAAAGGTGTTGATGTATATGCTTTTGTCTGCCTTATTACAACCCTAGTTTCCAAGTAGAATGGTATTCTAGTTCTCAGTGTTCTCTTCTTACTACCCTAACTAGTGATTTAAAAATAAATCAGACACCAAGGGGGCAGAGCGGCGGGGGGTGGGGTGGGGGGGTGGTGTGATGAATTGGGCGATTGGGATTGACATGTATACACTGATGTGTATAAAATGGATGACTAATAAGAACCTGCAGTATAAAAAAAAATAAAATTAAATTCAAAAATTAGAAAAAAAGTCAGATCATTTATTCCTTGCTTAAAGCTCTCCAGTTCCATCACAATAAGCAGAAGTCTATGCTCCTTATCAAGACTTACAACACCCTACACATTCTGGCCTCTGCCTGCCTTTCTGACATCAGCCTACTACTCACTCATGCTCATTCCAATCACACTCATCTTTTTGCTGTTTCTTAAGCATGCCAATTTTGTGTTTTTACTGATTCATATTTTTATTGAATCAAATTTTGTTGATTAATGTTTAGTCACTGTTACACTGTTCGTAGTAGAAACTACCTTATAAGTAGGAAGTCTGCTTTTAGGCTAAACCATAAGGTATTTCGACTGAGATTATTTTGAGTCTTTATTCAAAATTTAGGTCTCACATATTTTCTCCATAATATTAATAGCAAGGCTTTATGTCTATGTATGTATAAGACACAGTAGTACCTAAAACAGGAACTACTTTGTTCAGAAACCTGTCTATAATGGCCCCTATTTACTTCCTCTGTCCACTTGGGGTGCAAATATTGATTAAGCCCATCTGGATGGTGTATTTTTTTTCTTAGCAATACCTGAATGGTTTCTTTAAGTACTTTCTAATGTTGGACGAGCAATACTGGCATTTTTAGTGAGACAGTGCTTTGTTGTGCCGACATAATATTGCAGGATATTTAGCATCTTTAGCCCCTGCCTGCTAAATGCCAGTAGAATCCCCTAATCGTGAAGACAATCAACTGCCCTCATGTATTGCCAGATAGTCTTTGGTAAGATACTGTCCCTAGTTGAGAACTACTCAAGATTTCATCAAGAAAATAAAAAGAGTAGTTGAAAACAATGAAACAGTACATACACACGCACACACACACACACACACACCCCAACATCAACACTGCAGTGCTCTAATGTTTTAGATTCTTTCTTCATTGGTTATGCTGATTTTGTTGTTAACTACAGATTTTCTTCTGTGTCCTATCAGCATCCTTGCCAGACAGTTTCCACTGGTCACTTTTTTAAAGAATTATTTATTTATTCATTTGGCTGCGCCGGGTATTAGTTGCGTCATCGGGATCTAGTTCCCTGACCAGGGATCGAACCCAGGCCCCCTGCGTTGGGATTGCGGAGTCTTAACCACTGGACCACCAGGGACATCTCGGTCACTTTCTTATAACAGCACCGATATGCAAATTGAGGTGAGATTTCTGCTTTTATTTCTGCCATTTAGTCTTTAAGCTGTGGAGAGGTGCTGTGATGTAGTATATGGAATATTAGCTTTTTCCCTTGCTAGTTTTATGGATTTGAGTAGTTAATCTCTCTGAAACTTACTTTCCTTTTATAAAATATGCTGTGTGAGGATTAAATGAAATGTTTCTAAAGTGACCAAAAAGTTACCAGAGCTCAGTACTTATCAATTCCCTCTTATTTGTAGGTCTGTTCCCCTGGTTACTGATTAAGAGTTAGGGTCTTTGGGGTTAGACCAGTTGGTTAGAATTCTGGCCCTGCTGCTTACTAACTGTATGACAATAGACAAGTTGGTAAGCTTTTCTAAGACTCAGCTTATCCATCTATAAAATGGGGTATAATAGTACTTGCTTCATATGTATATTATGAGGATTAAATGAGTTAATTTCCAGAATTAGTGGCTAGCATATAGTAAGCTCTCATTAAATATTAACTGTTGTTACTATTTTCTGTTAAACAAATCCATGAAATATATGGGGTCTTCAGGATGTGGCTTCTCTCCATTGTGAATATGCTCTTCTGCAGACAAACATGGTAAATAGAAAATGTCTGTGGAACTCCCTGGATACAGAGGCATTTTAGGCTTCCTAGGCTTTGGGTTGGGAGCTGACTGTAAAACTCCCCTGGTACTCAAAAGCTGTCCCTTTGTTGCCTTGATGGGATTTTACTATTTATTTCATACCTACTGATGGTTACGTTTATGTTTAAAATATATTCTCCATTCAGTTATTGTCACATCATTGATTCATCATGTTAGGTCCAAAGGGTTTTGAAAATGTGATTAGGAGGGTCTAGATACGGGTGAATAGCTCCAAGAAATCAGTCAGCTGGAATGAACTCTGTGGCCACCCCAAGAAAACCCAGCAAACAAACAAAGACTCTTAATTCCTTTTGAATTCTAATTACAACAGCTAGTCTATAACTCTGCACTGCTTTTTCTATAAATTGCAGCAAAGGAAATGACAGCATTAGAAGATTTGCTAAGAGGGAATTATAATAACTGAGACTGTAGGCTCAGAGGAATGTATTACTCTTGATAGATTGTTATGGGATACTTAATTGCAGAGCTTGCAGGACAGAAGGAAATACTTTTGTATTACCCCTGAGAGATGGCACTGTGTTGAACATGGTACCAAGATTTTTACCTTACCTCCTTGGCTTCAGTAAGGTCCACTGTTTGAAGAGGATAAACATTATTCTTACAACCCCTACTTAGAACTAATTTGCTTATACTCATGGATGAAGGAACTCTATTTTCCCAGATAGCTTCAAAAAATCATGTTTGTTTCTTTTAAAGTTTGTCTTTGACTTATAAGTCAAGAGTCATATAATTGGTTTTCATTAGTTTATATTGTATACTGTAACTGGAAATGTCAACTCAGGGTTTACTAGTATTAAGTAATGTAGAGGCAGGGATTAATTTCTGGGATACAGTGAATATAATGATCTCCTCCACTCCTTTGACCTGAAGCTGCTTTTTGATTTCTGACGTTCTTGCAAACCATCTTAATGAACTGTTATTTCTTAGCTATAACTCAGATTTAGATGTTTTGTCCAGATCACTGACCAGGACAATGACTGCCATGTTGTACATGTGTAGTTCCCTCTTCTAAAAGAGATGATCATTTCCTTAGCAGTACTAGGGAGATGAGCAGCTTCTTCTGTGCCAAGCGTCTGCTAGCTACAAGTTCTGCCTGTGAACATCTCTGATAGCAACGTGAACCACAGCTCTTCTGAAGCAGTGCCACATTCCATCTCCCCTGACGTTGCCCCGCCCAAGCTGTCTGAATGCTTCTGCAGGCTTTTATATAGTTCCTCTTTTGGCATTAAGTGTCTAGTGTTATCAGATCCAAAATGTAGTCTTTCAATTCGGAAGAGCCTAAGCTTACACTATCCTTCACTGAAACAGAGATCACTGGTAGCCGATGATACTCAGAGACAAAGAACCTTACTTTAGACACTTGTCTGAGTGGTGGAGGGCAAAATTTCACAAGTCAATTGTTACTGAAAAGTGGTTTCAGAGAAGAATG